ATTATTCCCACGTCTTATTACATCAAGGAATGTTCTAGGTCATCCTGACACCGAATAATTCCTTTCGTCTAATTGATTTCGTCCGTACTTGTAGCTCTCAAAATAAATATTTAATTTGATTTTCGTTCATTCACCTTGAACATTCACGAAATCAAGCAGCTGTCACTGAATAAAATATGTAGATATTTGATTACATGAGCATTTTGTCGATACAAAATAAGGATTTTTGCGTGGAATCACGACATTGAGTTGTCAGTTTCAATTTCATATACTAATTGCGTTTTGTTGATTTTGGTGCTGAGTGGGATCTGATTAACTTTAAATAATGAATGATTCGAGAACAAATTGAGAGTTCATTGCCAAATTAGTTTGTTGTATGAATTGAAGGATTGACTGCAATGTGTGAATTTATTTTGAGGCAGTTTGTGACGTCAGCGATAGATTTTCTTGGAAGGCATGCAAAATTATTGAGAATCTAAACAAAGATGAGCTTTACTTGTGCAAGGAAAGAAAATTTGGTCTCTAATTCGTCGCTGACACTGGTTTCCTAAATACATATCGATGTGTGGTCGAGGGTAAATCTAGAAATCGAACTATTGAACATTAATAATTTTTCTTGTATGGTCTAAGATTATTTCTGATTTTAAAGGAGCATCACATCACCAACCGAATATCCATGACAATTTCAAGTCCTCAAGTTTGAAAAACTTTTTTTGTTTAACTCCTAAAATACTTTTGCATCAACTAAAGCCATAAAATTCAAAAATGAATGTTTATTTGTCCATAAAACAACCCACATCCACATCCAGTATTTTTAAAAACTTTTAAAATTTAATCACATTCAACCATCTGACATAGAAATGAAATTTTTTTCCCAGTTCTTTATGTAAATAGTTTGACTCGTTGAAACTATTCAGCACATTTTATTTTCTATTTAATGTCATTTGCCTGTTGAATTTTTTAGCAACAAAATTGATTTATGGTTTCTTTGGTTTTTCATTTGAGTCAAACATGAAAAAGTATTTTTTGTCCTCCGTGAATGCAACAGCCAGCAAGTGACACACTGGAAAACACATTTGTATGGAAATGAAAAAAATTTTTTTTTTGGCTTTTATGCACTTTTTTTGCATTGTTAGAACTACAAAACGGCAAATGTTCATGCTTGTGTACATATTCATCCGGTTTAAATCGTCAACAACAAACAACAAAGCAGACTGTTGTGACATTGTTGGATGTATTTAAATTCAAAATTAAAAATGTTTTTGTTAAGCAAAAAGAAAGTCAGGAAAAGAAAGCGAATTTGTCGATTATGTGGGTTATGCGAGTTGGGTTTGTAGATGACGCATTTTTTTAAGTATTGAGGAACTTAAATGGGATGACATTCTTGCATTACTCAAGTTAAGATCGTTTAAAATATGAAGAATCTTGCTTGATTCTAAAAGTGTGTGTTTAACGACCCTCCTTTATCCTTGTATGAGTAGATTACACATTTTAAGGCCTTTATACTAAGTAGTATCTTATAACTATAATATACCTAAGTGAAGAAGCAGCTTAAATTGATTTTTCTAAAAGAATAGCTCAAACTTAATTAAAATTAACCTTTTAAATCGCTCAAAAATATCAAAATTCTCCAAAAATCACTCGAAAATTTATATTTTGAAATTTTGCTTGACCAATTTTTTAAGGCACAAAATTTTATCACAACAATTTCATTTACCCACCAAAACTTTCTGCTAATGCAAAATTTTAAAAAATGCCATGCATCAAGACAAGAAAAAAGAGTGAACAAAAAATAAGAAAATTCTTCTGTTGCCATTTATTTGACGTAACGAATAAAAAAATTTCCCCATTTCCACATCACATCAGTTTTGTTTGAGAAAATAAAAATATTTTAAAAATTTTTTCCTACGACATGTAATAAAAATTTTTGTTCCTTCTTCAAGTTAAAACATTTTTTTGTGTTATTTTTTAAAAAGAAGCAAAAACTTTGTCATTTTTAATGAACCGTCATTAACATAAATTTATGTGAGTATTCGAAATTAGAGAGACATGCAGAGAAGCAGCAGAATGGCACATATAGACACAGAGGAAGAAAGATGGGGTACTGAGTGTAAAGAGTTCAAGACACTTCATGCAAAAAAGAATTAATTAAAAAAGTTTTCTTTATTTTCCATCTTATGATTCGTCTTTAATCATGTCTTTAGTTTCTCTACAGCTACTTTGCTTTCACTTTACTTACCTTGCATGAGTGGAAAATTTATTTGAAAAATTTTTGTTTGAAAATCAGAAAGTTTTTGCTAGGATTGGGAACTTGAAGAGTAATAAAAGATCTAACTGACTTAAGATAGGTTTGAAATGTCTAAAACTAGACAAAAACAAGATTCGACTTATTCGTAGGCGCTGATTTTGGTGTCAAACTTATATAAAGCTACAATAGACAAAACCCAAAAATTTTAAGCTAAGGTTAGTTCCTTCTGCTGTGCCTGCATACAAAACTCTCAAATTTTCAGAAAAAAAAGCTCAAACATCATCAAAAAAAAAGTCCCCAGCTCTTAAAAAAGTTTCAAAATTTATAGTACAACATTTAAGCTAAAACAAACATATTCTCTATCTGCATGCACGAGGTGATGACTCGTTAGAAAAGTGATGATCATTTTTATGATTTATTTCAATCGCTTACAGTCATGAGAAATTTTTTTCCACCAACATTCATGCAAATTTTTCTTTCATAATTTGAAATTTTTTTTTCTACCTCTGGAACTGAAGGAAATATTACGTTTGAGCACTGAGAAGCTACAATAAGTCATTTTAATCGCTGAGCATTTTGTAGCTTTATAGCTGCAAAGCATTTTGAGTGATTACAGTTGAGCAAGAGCAGAGCTATGAAAATATTTCATAAGAAAGAGTGCTCAATGTCGATAACCTTAATATTAAGTAAATTTACACTAATGTAAAATTATTATTTATATCTGCATGGTGTCATAAAGTTCTTCTATTAACTTTCTCATTAATGTAGAATTATTTCTGAATGGATTGGCTTTTGAGCTGAGTAGTTATTATCACGATTATTAATAGATTTAATGAATAAACTTTTTGCGGTTGACTGTCATGTTAATAAACTGACAATTACGACATTAAATTTCACAAAGTCATAAAAATTCTTCGAAAAAGTTAATGTAATTTGATTAAGCTTTTGAGTACGAAATCTTATCATGTCATATTACCAAAATTACTGAGAAGAGACACTTTATCGTGTTCCTAGAATTTAAGGTTTCGTTTTTCTTAAGATAGAAGCAGATATGGAAACTCAGTTAAGTTGAATCCATTAATCTGTTGAGATAATTCAGTTCGTGGAAAAGTCTAAGAATGAAGAAGCTTTTTGCGAAAGCTTTAAATTGAATGTTGATGCGTTTCTAGTTTAAATCGACACTAGATTGTTTATGTGGAAGGAATGAGAGTTAAATGAAATTTCTGGTGTTTTTCGGAAGGTATAGGGCTAATATATTAAATGGTCGTTTCGACTGAAGTGTGAAATCAGCATACGATTTAGCCATTTTTGAAGGTCAATTTAAAGCTACCTTGCATGTGTTCAATTCCCATTATATACACCAAAAGTACACTGTAATTTTTATATAAATTTAAAATTCATCAAACAAAATTAAAAACTTTAAAATAATTTATTGACTGTCTGCATTCCCACTCTTCCCTCAAAAAGTGTTCCATCAAAAATCAAAAAGTTTCATGAACAATTGCCACTAACAATTGAGCTTATGTAATATTCCATTTTATGACATAATCGCTTAAACTCATTATTGCAAATAATTAAATTTAATTGACGCATTTATTCAATTAATTAGTCAATCAATTTTGTCAGTACAGTAGAAACATCCAACACATCCCAATATTATTTTATTATGCTAGACATAATTAAATTCTTGCATAAATTAAAAAAAAAGAGTCACAAAAATTAAATTAAAAATCTTCAAAGGCTTCAAAAGAAGAAGCAACAGAGAGGCACAAAAAAATATTATTTTAATGAGTCAACAAATTAAAAACTTATTTCATAAAGAATAAGGCGAGAAATTCCACTTCTAAGTCCCTTCTTTTTTTTTCCTTCCCGGTATAAAATTCTTGTGTAAAAATTTATGAATTATAATTATGATACATGGGAGGAAATATAAAAATTATACAGAAGGAACCTTTTTATCCATCATCACATGAAGTAACAAATGGGAGGGAGAAAGAAATTTCACGCGTACCATGAACTTGACAGGAAATAAGCAGAGTGTATAAAGGAATTCAAGAAATTTCGCACAAAGAGGAGACGGAAAGAATATTAAAGCAGATATAAATTATCATCATCATCATCATCATTATCGTAATTATGTAATTGATGTTTTCATAACACTGAAGAATGAAAAAAAAAAGAAAATTATCATAAAAACGAGACCGACTAGAGGAGATAAGATCGAAGCTTTGAAGCTTCGAAACGAAAATGATTTCAATGATTTTTTACGTACGATACGTAAAAGCCGAGCCGATGATGATAAAAAGCTCTCACTTTTGCCACTCAATGCGCATGCCCTCCCCCAGATTTTCATTCCCACTTCCAATGACGAAGTTGAACGTAAAATCGTGAGTGAGCAATTTGAGCAACTAACTATCACATCCACTTCCAGTGCACAACGAGGAAGAGACAATTTCCGTGCTCTACCTACAATCCTCTTTAGTCTCGGAATGCGCTTGAAGGATCGCAAATATACAACAAGTGTTTTTATACTTTAACACACAAAAAATGTTTATTTATAAATAAAAAAAATAAAAATAAGTAAAATTTCGCGACATAAGAAGTAAATGAAGATAATAATGTGAAAATCTGAAGGATATAAATCATGAAGTGACGTGAAAAAAAAATATTATCAATATGCATTCATTATTTATTTATTTATTATGTCACACAGAACGGTGGATTGTACGAGATTATTAATAATTCATAAAAGAATCAAAAATCATTCAGATTTTATCCAAAAAGAGTGAGCGAGTGATATTTTTTCATAAATTCATCATTTCGGCATTTAGTGAGATTCATGTTAAGAGTTGTATATACATAACTACGTGTGTACGCATCAGAAGGTGAATAACGATGAGAAAATATTTTTAGCAAATAAAGAAAAAAAGAGAAAAATAACAATCGAGCGCATTTTTAAGTGGGCGAGAAATTTGATGCCATCAATATCATTTATTCAGATGTGAAAAGATCGTTTAGAGAAGTGAAAAAAATAAATTTGCATTAAAAACTTTTTCATGTGACAAAAAAAAATAATAAAAAAAAATTAGAGGAAATTTAATGCAATTATTATAAAAATGAAGGATACACTTTGGATTACATTCATTGGAATTTTTATATTTGGTAGTTGCTCGAGTAAGTACACAATTATTGTCCACAGATGACCAATAAGAAGATACTTGATTATCTCGCGACGTTTCTCATTTCATTCCTCATAATAAATTTACACTGGGCTACAGTTGCCTTTATGCTTGGACGAGCACTTCATTAAGTCCCGCATTGTGTCGTAAAAAATTATGTATTTTTAGCAGATTATGATGGGGAGCACTAAAAATGAATTTTTATTCACAATTAAATTTAAGCCTTTATTATGTCGTGCATGCAGACAAAAAATGCTGTGTCTCAATCATAGAGGTTCTTTGATATCGAAATTGTCTGTTGGGAGGATATGAATATTTAATATTTGGGTTTGTTTTCTTTGGAAATATTATTCATTTGAACCTTTAACAAGAAAATTTACAAATCATAATTTAATCAAAATTTCATTAATAAATTAACTTGCAATCTTTATGATATCTCGAAAAAATTTCTACCAAGAAGACACAAACAAAATAAACTCGTATTAGTTTTACTTTTTCAACCTTCTCCGAAGTTTTTGGACAACAACAGAAGTATATAAGAAATGTCCCATTAGACACTATCTTCAGCCACAAAATTTACTTGAATATGAATCGCATGATTCAACTAATTATCCGTTTTTGGATGTACAATCTAGTAATTTAGTCTTATGCGTAATACTATACTTAAGGGGAACGATAGGTTGGAGAACTAGAGGAAGTGATAAAAGTGAACCAGATGAAAATATCAAATAAATTTCTTGGAATTCAATAGGACAAATTACATGATTGCTCATTATTTATAATTTGTATAATTATCCTCTTCTATCTCAGCCTTTCAGTAGATTATTCTCCATTTAAAATGTATCAGAAGCTATACTTATTGCGAGTTTTCCTTTTAGATATTTAAGATGTATTCTTCCGGACAGCAATGAGATTTTTGAACTTACTCAAACAAAAATATTGAAAGACCTTAAAGCTTTAAAGCCACAATCGATTTTCAAAAGTACTAAATTAATCCATTCTCGTGGAAAATATAGAAAGTCTTCTCTAAACATATGCTACAGACAGAAAAGGTTTAAATAATATACTGTATGTATGTAAGCACGTGTAGTATTTTGAATAGAGATTCCAATGTTTATTTCTAAGATAAATGCAAAATAAGTCTGACTATAAGCATGACTATAAAATAATAAGCAAATTAATAGTAAAATGCGTAAAATAAGAGAATCTAAGTGTATGAAGAGGTAGGATCTGTAAGGAATTGTCCGTAACTAGCTTTGTTTGTATGCAAAATTCTATACTTTTGTTCGGAACTCAATCAAAAGTTTCGCTTCTTAACAGCAAATTTAATACTTTCATATAAGACGTTTAAAGGCTAGGCTCGTTTGTCATTAAGCCATATTGTACAGACAGGTTAATGACAGCTATTACATATTTTATTAATAATAATTCCAATTTATATATAATAACTCACGATTTAATTTGTTCTGCTAACCTTTCGAAGTTCACGTACAAATTTTCCAAACAATTAATTTCAAACAAAATTCAAAATATAAACAATTCTATCCAAAACCTTGACCGGCACTCAAAACTCTCGAAACAATAATTTTAATCAAAATTGAGAATCTCTAACAAACAATAATTCTCATTCAGCACAACACATGCTTCAAAGCAGCAAAAAAAAAAGAATTTTTGCGGTTGAAACAATTTTTTTAATTCCTCTCCACTTCTGAGGGATACTTGAAACTTAATTAATTTATGAAAATTATTTTTTCACTCTTATTTCGGAAGCCATGAACAATTCTTACTATGTCATTTTGTATTCCGCAAATTTTTGAATTTTTTTTGCTGATTTTTTGTGTGTTTAAAAAATTTTTTTTTGTCGAGTTTTTCTTCTTATTTAAATTGTTATTTTAAATAGCGATGTGTAAGGCATGGAGGGGGGAGAGGAGTTTTGTATGAGAATATGAAAAAGGAGACCCCAAAAGTAAATTATTCTTAATACCATTTGCGAAATGAAAAGTGTTTTTTATTTTTTCAACTCACGAAAAAGGAACGAACGAGAATAATCCTGAATCATTCAGAATGAAGAGAATGAAAGCAAAAAAAAATAATTTTGGATACATTTTTAACCCTTTTCTATGTGCTCTACTTACCCTTTCCGATTCACATATATCTTTCTGTCTCCATCACTCACTTACTTACTTTTCTCTTTTATTGCATATTATAAAATGCAAAATAAGTAAAAATTAAATTAAATCAGCACAAAAAGAAATGATCGTAAAATATTTTTTTTATCTGCTTAAGCCTTTTTACTTCCTTTCCATCAAATTAGATTGAATTTTACTTTTCTGTATTAGGGTGCGGAGAAATTTCCGAAAAGACATGAATTAAGGAATTTGTTTTTGGAGTGGGAGAAATTAATTGAAATAGAAAAATTCTTTGAATTTTCTTTGGCTCCGAAAGTGTTATTATGTACCGTCTTGAGAAAAGTCTATAAATCCTTGTAAAATGTATTTTAATTTGCGAATTGCTCATAAATTAATTTCAAAAAAGAAACAAAAGATTCGAAATTCTTTAAGAGCAACAATAAAAATTTTCTGAAAATTAATAAATCACGTCGTAAAATAACATTTTTTTTATTTCATTCAGTCTACTTCCTTTTGTTTCCCATTAAAAATGAGATTTCTTTTTCTTTTCAAAAAATTTTAATGGCATCTTCAAGATTTTTTAAGCTTTACTGGTGGATGGTGGGAATAATTAAGGTGGTTTTGGTGTTTGGGAGTGTCAGCTGTTTGTCTGAGGTTGGATTCTTGGGAATCAACTTTGAATTCATGATAAATGTTTAAGGGAGTGCGGGTGAGGGATTTGATTAATTTCAAAATCATTACGAAATTTTCAAAAAATTCAATCGAGGAAGAGTTTGAATCCCAAACCAGCTCATTTCAACGTGATATAACACATCGCTTTGCTGGAACTCACTTACATTTGTATTATTATTATTATTAGCTCCCAAAACCAATCAGTAAAGCATTAAAAACACAACAAAAAAGCGTCAATTCCATCCATACCCAACCTAAGCTCTTACTCATCCAAACATTCTCTTATTGTGACGACAATAAATAAGTTTTACTCTTTGTGTAAATTTCAAGCAATATTCAACAGCTGTTGACTATAGAAAGTGTAAATAATTATGAGCTGTAGTCAATTCTTTAAAAAGTTTTAAGAGCTTTTGACTTATAAAATTAATGAAAAAGGTTTTTAATGAATTTTTGATCGCTCGAAATATCCAAAAAATTAGATTTTCATTTTTGGTACGACAATTTTGAATACAAAACTTTCATAAAATTTTATTAAGCAGCAAAGAACTTATTTAATCAAGTGAGATCACACGAAAAATTAACTTTGTGGAATATTTTACCGTAATTAGGTGGATTTTTTTGGTGAAATTTTCTTTCACAGCAGAACAACTTTTTGTTTTAAATGATGATTGGTGGATTATTTTACTTCGAAGCTTAATTTTGTATTTTTGGAGAGTCTTAAAAGCATTTACCGCTTTATGCCGCCTACGAAGCTGGGAATTAAATTGTAATTTGGAGGCTAGTTAAGGAAAATTTAACTGTAATTAATTGTACAAAAATAAAGATGGATTATAAAGAATAGCTACTGTCTTTCCGTTTATAAGGCAGAATGACTTTTTGAGGATTTACCCAGGCTCGACAATCTTTGGATTTATGACCTTAGCGAATGACCTTTTGACGCCTACCAGACCTCTTAACATGCTTATAAGCGCATGTTTTTGACTTGGAACAAGTAATTTCGGCGTAAACTTATATTTATCAGTGGCAACACTCCATTCCTTGTCAGTAAATCATGACAATCTATCCAAAATCAACAAATGAATCCAATCAAAGCATTAAAATCAATTTATCTGACAATATTCATCCTAATAACAAAAAACAAATATTTTGTATCATAAAAGCCACTCCAAAAAATCATATCTGATCATAAAACCACAATTTGGTATCCCAATGTTGGTAGTCAATGAAACTGCATACATCAACATCAGATTTAAACTGCAATAAAATTATGAGAACTTTTAATAGGACGATAAAATTTTATGAACAAATTTAAATTCTTATTTATGACACCTCAAAATTTAAATTCCAGTTAATTTTATATGTGTAAACTTGTACATGCTTGTAAGACATGAAGTAAACATTAAGTAAAATAAGAGAAAATTCTTAACCACAATAAACATCAACTCAAACCAAATGAAATTATGGTTAGACAATTTATTTGTTGTATATGAACAGCAAGAAGCATTAAGCTTCTCAGTAGGAAAGTTTAATTAATTTTGAATGAGTGAAAATTTGTGTTTACAAAATACCAAAAAAAAAACTTTAGACCTTCCATAAAAAAGCTTCCGTTATCTCTACAAATATATAAAAAAAAATTCTTCATAAATATCAGACGTAATTCCCTGTGGATTAAATTTTATTTATGGCATTAAATGAAATATTCTCAAACACGTGTCGTTCATCCTTAACAAATTTTATATTCAACTGCCTGAAAAAAAAAGGTCGCTTGTAATTTTGTTCTTCTTTGTCATCAATTTTATATAAATTAGAAACAGATTTAAGAATTTTATTGAAAAAAAAAATTAAAAAAGGTAAAAATAAATCGAAATTTTATCTATAATTCATGCAATCAACGTTTAAAATGTTGTGAATATCTCTTCCAATCCAATTTTCATGCTGTTGTAAAAACTTTCTTTTTACTTTAACTGCTCTTCCACTTCCTAACGTCAGCTTGCAAAATTGGCAAACTCTCATAAATACGTTGAGATAGAGAAGAAGAGGAAAGAGGATTTTTTTCTTCTTCTAGAAACAGATTCTTTTGAAGTTTCACAATTTAATGGGTATCTTTTAAAACTTTTTTATAGAATTTGATAGTTGGATGAATTATTTGTGTCTGTAGTCAATGACTTTTAGTTTTGAATGATTGGTTTTTGAT